AGGCTTTCAGGTGTTCGCCATACATGCTTGGGGGTAGGTTTCTGGAGCCCAAGTTGTGCCAGGGCTCAGCAGGTTCCTGTTCCTCCCGACTGGCAGGAAGCATGTGTGCACACGTGTGTGGGGGGTGTTGGGCACATGGGTGCACTCACTCACACATGAGGGCAAGGTGTGTCTGGGGGTCTGGGGTTGGGGAGGAACAAGCCAGAGCGCTAGACCATTTTCACATGAACCCAAACCTTGGCTCCAGGCTCGCCCCTGTCTGCAATGGCTTGAGAGGCAGGGCCCAGGGACGGCGGGAGGTAAGGGCGCGCTAAGCAAGAGGGAGGGCGACGGTGGCGGCAGCCGGCAGCAGGGTCTGGGCAGAGGCTCCAGCTGTCACAGGGGATGAGAAGAGGTACCGCCACGGGTCCAGATGGGGGCAGAAGCGCCACGAGGGGGCCATGGAGCGTGACCAGAGGCTGAGAGCCACCAGCTCTCAGTGGAGCCCCAGGGCTCCTGCTGCTGGGCTGGTGGGGGAAACAGTGCCTACCTGTGCCACGGCGGGTGGGTGCTGAAGGCCTGGAGTCATAGGTGGCTGCGTCCTGCAGTGGGGGAGTCATCCAGTGCCCCCTCGGTGCCCGGGCCCAGAGCCTACCGTGCCTGCAGCACCAAGGGCCATTCTGAGGAGGATCTGAAAGGAGAGGGCAGTGAGAGGAGCGGGCCAGACCCCAAGCCCCAGAGGCAGACTCACAATGGGCCTGAGGACGCTGAGGGGCCTGCTGCGTGGACCCACTCCCTGGCATGGTCTGAGGAAGGCAGGAGGTGTGCAGGAAGGGACGCGGGGGCAGGGAGGGCCAGCCCGGCTGGGTGGCACGAGGAGGAGTGTGGGGTGGGAGCAGTGTCAGCGCAGGAAGCCGTCAGAGGCGGGTCCTGCAGGACAGAGTCAGATGGACGAGAGCAGAGGATCCAGGCAGAGCCCAGGCCCTGGCGGAGCAGGCAAACCTGGGGGCCTTGGCAATAGCTGGAGGAGGACCACCAGCCAGCTTGGGACCTGGACGCCTTCTGGAGCTCAGGGACATCCCAAGGGAGTCTAGGGGTGGCCGGCAGGTAGAGCCGACCTGCTCTGTACTCTGCTCAGCTCACGTGGAACCCTCCCTGTGTGCACAGCCTGGTTTCACCCCCATTCAAGAGCAGGACGACTGTGGGCTGGGGTCAGAGACCAACTTGTGAGCTGGAGCCCCTGGGCAGATGGTGGGGAGTGGGGGATGGGGGGACAGGTACCTACGGGGGCGGGGCTTGAGAGCAGTTCAGGGTCACGTGTAGTTGGTGTTGGCCAGAGGGCCACTCTGAGAAGGTGAGGAGGAAGGGGAGGCAAGGAGAGGAGGAAGATGCCAGCAGTGGAGATGTTAGCAGCCCAGGGCTGGGAGGACGTGCCCTGCAGGAAGGTGGGAGACAGAGGGACAATTTGAAGGGAGCGAGGTGTCCAGGCAAGAGGATGCCAAGTGGAGACAGGGCAGGTGCCAGGCGGTGGGGAGGAGGGGAGGGGAAGGAGGGGAGGTGCCAGACACAAGGGAGGAAGGGAGGTGCGAGGCAGAGGGGAGGAGGGCAGATACCAGGCAGCGGGGGAGGAGGGGAAGGAGAGGATGCCAGTCAGAGGGATGGGAAAGTGCTAGGCAGTGAGGAGGTGACAGGCGTGGGGAGGAGGGCAAATGCAGGGAAGGGAGGAGGGGAAGGTACCAGGTAGGGGGAGGAGGCAGAGATGCCAGGCAGGGGGGAGGAAGGGGAGAACCAGAGAGGAGGCGGGATGGGAGTTCGCCAGTCAGGGAAGAGGGGCAAGAAAGGGAGTGGGGGGAGGTGAGAGTCAGTAGTGGGGGGGGGGGGATCAGGAAAGGAGAAGGGGAGGAGGAAGCCAGGCAGGGCGAAAGGGGTGCCAGGTAAGGGGAAGGTGCCAGGAAGGGGAGGAGGGGGTAGATGCCAGACGGGGTGGGGGGAGGGACGCCAGGCAGACGGGAGGAGAGGAGATACCAGGCAGGGGGGCGGAGGGATGCCAGGCAAGGGAAGGAGGGGTGATGCCAACAGAAGCAAGACGGGTACTGCCAAGCAGGGAAGGCCGGGCTGCCGGCGCGGCGCGGCGGCGCGGCGTCTCCTCCAACGGCCTGGGGACCGCGCGGCGCGGGTCGCTCACCTGCTCCCCCGGGACCCTGGCCCGGAGCGCGGCTGCTCGCTCCCAGCTCGGCGCTCGGCTCGGCCCCGGCGCCTGCGCCGCTGCAGCCCTGAGCGGGGGAGGCGCAGGGAGCGTCTGCAAAGAGCGAGGAGCTTAATAATGAGTTAGGGATCAGAGCAGGCAGCGTCGCCCCATCCATCCGAATATGTGATCGCCAGGCTAGGAGCACCGCGGCGCGCCCTTGCCGGGCCCATTGTGATCTGCAGTCTGTGCACAGATGTGCCTTCGGGTCTGTGGATGCACCTACGCGCCCGTGGATTCACATAGACCGTCAGAGGGTCTGATGTGACCGCAGGCGTTACCTACTCTAGGACCATACACACGCGCGCGCGCACACACACACACACACACCCTGTGGGGTGGGGAGGGGGCTTCGGTTCCACTCCAGGTTCAGGGACAGGCTCTGACCCATGCCCCCCACCCCATTATGCACTTGACACCCATGGTCTAATCTGGGTTCCTCCCAGCTTTACTCCTGTCTCTGCAGGGACTCTGGCGGCCAAGAGAAGCCCTTTCTGGACGTCCAGCTAGATAGGCTGCTCTGGTCGCCCCACGGGCTCTCTGTCTCTGTGAATCTGAGTACTCTGAATACCTCATATGAATGATATCATACAGTATTTGCCCTTATGTTACTGGCTGATTTCACTTAGTGTAAAGTCCTCAAGGTTTATCCATGCTGTAGCATGGGTCAGAATTTCTTTCCTTCTAAGGCTGAATACGATTCTGTTGCCTGCAACAGAGAAAGACAAACATCGTATGAAAATCACTTCGATGTGGAATCTAAAAAAATGGTACAAATGAACTGATTTACAAAACAGAAACAGACTCACAGACACAGAGAACAAACATGGTTACCAAACGGGAGGGGGGAGGGATAAATTAGGAGTTTGGGATTAACACATACACACAACTATATACAAAATTCAATCATTCGTGAGTGAGACCTGGGGTTGTTCACTGTACTACTGCTTGAACAGCAAGAACTTGGAAACGTCTGAAGGTTCATCAACAGGTGACATAGCAAACTAATCATGTGACCAGTGTAAACAGGTGACAAGACAAATACACCACTCAATGAATCTATCAAAGAGTAGGGAGGGAATCCCCTGGCGGCCCAGTGGTTAGGATTCTGTGCTTTCATTGCTGAAGGGCCCGGGTTCGATCTCTGGTGGGGGAACTAAGATCCTACAGGCTGTGCAGTGTGGACAAAAACAAAAGACAAAACAAAACAAGGCAAAAAGACCAGTAGGGAAACCCTCTATGTACTGATAGAGAAGGATAGAGACGAATCTCAAAGATGAGACAAGAGAATAAAAGGAAAATGTGCAGAACAGTGTGTAAAGCGTGCTGGTGTGTGTGTGTGTGTAAGTGCACGAACACACACACACACACAGGCCTCTGGACAGATACAGGAGAAACTGGTCACAGCAGCTGCCTCTGGTGAGGGGCTGGAGGACAGAGGTGGAGGGACCTTTACTTTCCACTGTGTTTTCTTTTGTAGCTTTTGAATTTAGAATACTTTACCCACTCAAAAAATATGTAGTTTACAAAAATCGTTTATATCATCTTTTAGACTTTCAATATTTTCTGAGCACCCGCTATGTAAAATCAGACCCCAAACCCATGAACCCACACGGGCCCCTTTGTCTGTTCATCTCCCTCAGGCATTCTGCACTTCTTCCTGGAGCTGGTATTACTGTGGGCCTGGCCCTGTACTAGGCTCTGTGGGGCAGGGATATGAGACGCCGCTGGACCAGGTGGGGGATTAATATAGGTAAATAGCTCACTACACCAGGTAGAAGGAAGGAGTCCAGTCACAGAGGCCAGCCCCAATGCTGGGGGGGGGTACGGCAAGTAGAACGGAGGGTGCCAGGGACTGTGGGGAAGCAGGAATGGGGAGTTAGTGTTAATGGGGACAGAATTTGCGTTGCTAGATGAAAACAGTTCTGTGGATGGACGGTGGTGATTAACAGTGTGAACGTAGTTAATGCCACGGAACTGTACACTTAAAACCTGGTTAAGATGGTAAATTTTCTTTTATTTTACCACAATTAAAAAAAATTTTTTAATGCTACTAGAAAGGAAGAAAGATGTGAGATTTCCCTGGTGGTCCAGTGGTTAAGACTCCACGCTTCCATTGCAGAGGGGCACGGGTTCAAGCCGTGGTCAGGGAACTAAGATCCCACACGCCGCGTGCCCCACCCCCCGCCAAAAAAATGTAAGAAAGACGTGTTTCCTCACCCTCACCACGTGTCCAGCATTATATCAGGTGTTTGTTCTTGACAACAGCCCTGCAGGACGGACATTATTATTTGCATTTACAGAAGATAAAACACAAGTTCTGGGAGGTCAAGTGACACGTCCGAGGCCATGTAACTCACACGTGGCAGAGCTGGGGTTCAAATCCATGTCCGTTGGGCTTCTTCCCGTGCCCCCTGCAGGCAACTCTGGGGAAGAGGGTAGGGAGTTCGTTCATGGAAGAGGCAGCCTTGGTGCTGAGTCTTTTTTTTTTTTTTAACATCTTTATTGGAGTATAATTGCTTTACAATGGTGTGTTAGTTTCTGCTGTATAACAAAGTGAATCAGCTATACGTATAGTATACATATATCCCCATATCCCCTCCCTCTTGCGTCTCCCTCCCACCCTCCCTATCCCACCCCTCTAGGTGGTCACAAAGCACAGAGCTGATCTCCCTGTGCTATGCGGCTGCTTCCCACTAGCTATCTATTTTACGTTTGGTAGTGTATATATGTCCATGCTGCCCTCTCACCTCGTCCCAGCTTACCCTCCCCACCCTGCCGGCTCCTCAAGTCCATTCTCTACATCTGCATCTTTATTCTCAGCCCTAAAAAGACACGAAATTGAGTTATTTGTAGTGCACTGGATGGACCTAGAGTCTGTCATACAGAGTGAAGTAAGTCAGAAAGAGAAAAACAAATACCATATGCTAACACACATATATGGAATCTAAGAAAAATGGTTCTGATGGAGCGGAGTCTTGAGGAGCCGGGCACCGGCCTGGTGAACTGAAGGGGCAGGCGAAGGAGCCTGCCCGGTGCGGGGGTCCAGGGTGCTCGCCCAGGAGTCTGTGCTTTGTCCCGGGCTGGTGGGCACCAGCAAGGGGCTGCTGTACCTTCTGGAGTTCTGGGCTTTCCTTGGGTTTTCAGGACTCGTCAGCCCCCTCCCTGCTTCATTGTACCCCAAACATACCCACAGACCAGGACAGGGAAGGTACAAAGATTCCAGAAAATGCTCTGAGAGGTAATCAGATTTTTTCTGATTTAGTGCTTTTCTTTTCTTTTCTTTTTTTTTCGGTACGCGGGCCTCTCACTGTTGCGGCCTCTCCCGTTGCGGAGCACAGGCTCAGCGGCCATGGCTCATGGGCCCAGCCGCTCCGCAGCATGTGGGATCATCCCGGACCGGGGCACGAACCCGCGTGTCCCCTGCATCGGCAGGCGGGCTCGCAACCACTGCACCACCAGGGAAGCCCAGTGCTTTTCTTTTCTTAAAGAGTCCTCCCTCAATTGTATAAACTTCAGGCGCCACAAATACCTGGACGTGGTCCTGACTGAACCCATAGAGCGAACTGTGAGTTCTCTTCTTCTCCTGGGCAACTTTTGTTTTCTCTGGAGTTCATAATTAGCTTAAAAAATACTTTATTTTTTAGAGCAATTTTAGATTCACAGCAAAATGGAGTAGAAAGGTTCCCATATACCCCCGAGCCCCCCCACCCCAACACACGGCCTCCCCCATCATCAACATCCCCCAGCAGAAGGGTACACTTGTAACTACTGATGAACATACACTGACACATCACAATCGCCCAAAGTCCATAGTTTACGTGAGGGTTCGCTCTTGGTGGTGTACATTCTCTGGATTTGGATAAATGTATAAGGACACGTATCCAGCATTATAGTGCCATCCAGAGTAGTTTCACTGCCTGAAATCCTCCGTGCTGTCTGTTCATCTTTCCCTCTCCTAAGCCCTGGCCACCACTGATCTTTAACTGTTTCTATAGCTTTGCCTTTTTCAGAATGTCATATAGTTAGAATCATACAGGATGTAGCTTTTTCAGATTGGCTTCTTTCACTTCGAAATGTGCACTTAAGGCTCCTCCTTCCATGTCTCCTTGTGGCTTGAGGGCTCATTTCTTTTTAGAATAATATTCCATTGTGTGCATGCACCACAATAATAATTACCTTTTTTAAAAAAATGCTTGTTTGTTTGTTTGCTTAGTTTTCTGTGTACTTATCAAATCAACCCCAAAGCTCTGCAGACTAACCAGACCTCTTCTCAGGGCATTCAGGCTCCATAGGCTCTTCTGGGGCGGGCCTTCTGACCTGTTCCACCTGGACTGGCTGCCCACAGCTGTCATCCTGGAATCCCCCTTCACGTTAATCTGGGGAATTCTCTTCACAGCTCTACTGTTCTTTCATTCATTCGACGAGTCGGTCGGTGTTGAGAGCTTACTGTATGCCTGGTGGTGTTCTGGGGACTAGGATACAAAAATGAATAAAATGAACCAAAAAGTTTCTTCCTGCTCAGAACTTGACTTCAAATGGGAAAGATAGACACTAGGTAAGAAAAATATGTGAGATGTTCATTCCAGGCATGCAAGGCTGCTTCAATGTTAAAAAATCTATCTGGCTTCCCTGGTGGCGCGGTGGTTGAGAGTCCGCCTGCCGATGCAGGGGACGCGGGTTCGTGCCCTGGTCCAGGAAGATCCCACATGCTGTGGAGTGGCTGGGCCCATGAGCCATGGCCGCTGAGCCTGCGCGTCCGGAGCCTGTGCTCCGCAACGGGAGAGGCCACAGCAGTGAGAGGCCCACGGACCACAAAAAAAAAAAAAAAAATCTATGAATGTTGGGACTTCCCTGGTGGTCCAGTGGGTAAGACTCTGCCCTCCCAATGCAGGGGGCCCGGGTTCGATCCCTGGTCGGGGAACTAGGTCCCGCATGCATGCTGCAACTAAGAGTTTGCATGACGCAACTAAGAAGTCCACATGCTGCAACAAAGATCCCGCGTGTCTCAACTAAGACCCGGAGCAGCCAAAATAAATAACTAAATAAATATTTTTTAAAAAATCTATCAATGTAACCTACCATATTAACAAGCTAAAGAAGTAAAATCAAATGATCACATCAATCAATGCAGAGAAAGCATTTGACAAAATTCAACACCCATTCATGATGAGAACTCTCAGAAAAATTGGAATAGAGGGAACTTCCTCAACTTGATAAAGGGCAACTACAGAACACCTTGAGCTAACACTACACTGAACTGTGAAAAACTGAATGCTTTTCCCCTAAGATCCAGAAAAAGGCAAAAATGTCCACTCTCGTTACTCTTATTCAACACATTGCTGGAAGTTCTAGCCAGAGTAACAAGGCAAAAAAAGGAAAGAAAAGACATCGAAATCCTAAAGAAGAAATAAAAGTATCCCTATTTGAAGATGACGTGACTGTCTACACAGAGAATCCCAATAAATCTTTAAAAAAAAAAGCCCACAAACAAACAAACCTCCTAGAACTAATAAGTGAGTTCTGCAAGGCCACAGATTATAAAAGGACACAAAAATCAATAGCATTCTATGTACTAGCAATGACCATGTGGACACTGAAATTAAAAAAAAAATACCATTTACAATTACTCAAAAGATGGAACTATTTAGTGTAAATATAACATGTGCAGGATTTATATGCTGAAACTACCCAATGATGATGAAAGAAATCAAAGAAAACCGAAATAAATGGAGAGACATAGCATGTAGATGGTTTGGAAGATTTGACCTAGTAAAGACGTCAGTTCTTTCAAAATTGATATTCAGGTTAACTCAATTCCTATCAAAATCCCAGCAAGAGTTTTTGTAGATAAAGAGAAGATTATTTTAAAATTTATATAAAAAGGCAAAGGAACTAGAGTACCTAACACATTTTTGAAAAAGAAGAATAAAGTGGAAGAATCACTCTCCCCCATGTTGAGGCTTATTCTATAGCTACAGTAATCAAAACAATGGGATATTGGCAGAGGGACAGATACGTAGATCAATAGAACAGAACAGAGAACCCAGAAATAAACTCACACAAATATGCTCAACAGATTTTTGACAGAAGTGCAAAAGCAATTCAGTGGAGAAAAGGTAACCTTTCACCAAATGGTGTGGGAACGACTGGACCTCCAAAGATACAACAATGAACTCCACTTAACTCTCACACCTTATACAGCATTAACTCAAAATGGATCACAGATTTAAATGTAAAAGATAAAACTATAAAACCCTTAGAAAAAATATCAGAGAAAATTTTTGAGATCTAGGGCAAGGTGAACAGTTCTTTGACTTGACACCAAATGCACCATCCATAAAAGGAAAAACGGATAAATATTTTTAAAAATTGCTCTTGAATGACTCTGCTAAGAAGATGACAATAAAAGCTAAAGGGTAGGAGAAAGTATGTACAAAACACATATCAGACAAATGACTAGTATTTACACTATACAAAGAATGCTTAAAACTCCATACAATCCAATCAGAAAATGAGCAAAAGACATGAACAGACACTTCACCAAAGAGGACATAAGGGTGGTAAATAAGCCCATAGAAGGCTGTTCACTACCTCTAACCATTAGACTAGAAACTATCAGAATGGCTAAAATAAAAACTAGTGACAATACCTAATGCTAGTGAAGATGTAGAGAATCTGAACAACTCACCCATACATTACTGGTGGGAATGCAAACTGGTCCTCCGGAACACAGTTTGGCATTTTCTTATAAAACTAAACACTCACTTAACACAGTAACTGCACTCTTGGGCATTTGTCCCAGAGAAATGAAAACTTATGTTCACCCCAAAATCTGCCTATGAATGTTCACAGCAGCTTTATTCATAACAGCCCCAGCCTGGAAGCCACCCAAGTGTCCTTTGGTGGGTGAATGGTGGGTTAAACAAACTTGCATATCCATACCATGGGCTCCCACTAAGCAATGAAAAGGAATAAGCTATTGATGCATACAACTACACAGGTGACGCTCAAAATAAGTACGCTGAGTGAAAAAAGCTAGTTTCAGAATGTTACATACAGTGTGATTCCATTTATATAACATTCTTGAAATGACAAAATTATAGCGATGGAGAACAGATTAGTGGTTGCCAGGTGTTAAGGAGGGAGTGGGGATGGGAGGGAAGTGGGTGTGGCTATAAAGGGCAACTTGAGGAATTCTGTGGTGATGGGAATGGTCCTGTCTTCACTGCTATGCGAAGTTGGTAATGGCTCCCAGAGGTGGGTCCAAACCTAGTGCCCAGAACCTGTAAATGCTGCCTTCTTTGGAGAAAAGGTCTTTGCAGATGTAATTAAATCAAGGATCTTGAGATCAGGAGATTATCCTGGATTATCCGTGTGGGCTTCAAATGTCATTACAAGTGTCCTTATAAGAGAGAGGCAGAAGGAGATTACACATGCGTGGGCACGCACGCACAGGAGAAGGTGATGTGAAGACAGAGGAGAGGAAGGTGCAGCGGACCAGCCGCCTGAAGCTGGAAAAAGCAAGGAGCAGATTCTCTCCTAGAGCCCCCGGAAGGGGAGACAGCGCTGCCTACACCTTGGTTTGGGACTTCTCGCCTGCAGAATTGTGAGAGAATAAATTTCTTTTGCTTTAAGTCACCTAGTTGGTGGTAATTTTTACAGTAGCCACAGATGACCAACATATTCACTGTGTATTATACAATAGTTTTGCAAGAGGTCACCACTGGGAGAAACTGAAGGATAAACAGGGCCTCTCTGTATTATTTCTTACAGCTGTATGTGAATTGACAACTATCCCCAAATAAAAAGTTCAATTTATAAAAACTAGGGAAGGGAGATGAAAAGTTCGCTATGGGAGTGGGGTCAGGAGGGAACACCCAGTGCAAAGGCCCCGGGTTTACGGGCCTATGTATAGCTGGAAGCTCTGAGGTCAGAGAGATAATAGCCTGCGTGTGGATGGGGGGCGGGGAGAAGGGACCACGCAGGGCTCTGTAGGCTATTTTGAGAGCCTTGCCTTTTACTGTGAATGAGATGGGAAAATGTTGGAGGGTTTGAGCAGGACAGACATGATCTGACTCACGTGGAACTGGACCAATATGGCTGCCATGCTGAGCCGTCATGGTAGGGGGCAAGGCAAGAGTGAGGACGCCAGACGGGAGGCTGTCCAATCACTCAGGTGATACAGAGACCGGATTTGAATAAAAGGTAGTAATAGAGATGGTGAGAAATAGTTGCATTCTGAGTATACTTGGAAAGCAGAGCCACTGGGATTTGCTCTCAGGTTGACCCTGGGTGTGGCAGTCCTGCAGGTTACAAGGACTGAGCCCGAGCCCCCCCGCCCCCCCAGAGGACGGAGCTGCTGTGCACTCACGGCATGGAGCAAATGCCGGGAGGAGCGTGTTTGAGAAGAGGTCAGGGCTCCATTCTGCACGTGATGCATGTGAGATGCTTGCTAGACATTCAGGAAGAGATGTCCAGTTGGCACTTGGATGTAGGCATCGGGCGTTTAGGCTGGAAATGTACATGTAGCAGTCAATGTTTAGAAAGTATTAATGCCACAAGACTGGATGAGGGTCCCAAGAGAATGAACATGGTTAGGGAAGAGGTCCAAAGCCTGAGCCTTGGGGCAGTCCAGTGTTAAGGGGTCAGATAACAGGAGAAACCAAGAAAGGATGAGAAGGGTCCGTCACAAATTAGGAGGAAAACCAGAAGAATGTAGCATCCTGGAAGGCAGTTTGAGGACGCATTCTAGGGAGAAGGCAGTGGTCACTGTAACAAATTTTGCCGATTGTCACTGAAGTCGAAGACTGAGCAGCGGCCACAGGCTATAGCCCTGAGGAGACCGTTGGTGAACGTGATAGCAACAGCCTTGGTGGGTCCATGGGGCAAAGGGAAGAAGAGGAATTACAGACACAAGTACCCTTCAGAGAGGTTTTGCAGTGAAGCAGTAGCTGGAGGGAGAAATGGGGTAGAAAAGCTTTCTTTAAATTGGGAGAATTAAGAGCATGTTCGTAGCTGATAAGAAAGAGCCAGTGGAGGGACAGATGAATGATGCTGGGAGGGAGGGAACGATTTCTGGAACAACGTCCTTGTGTAGGTAAGAGGGGAGAGCACGGGTCATTCATCTACGACAGCAGTTTTCAACCTTGGGTGGACGTTAAAGTCATCTGGGAGCACTTAAAGATCTCCAGCCCAGGCCACACCTCTAACCCATTAACTCAGGGTCTCTGGGATGACTTAGCAGAGAACAGGCAGGAGGGGAGAGTTTGGGGGCACAGAGGTTGGTGGGCGGGCAGAGTGATTGTGGAAGAAGCTCTCTTCCGACTGCCGCTGCTTCCTTGGTAAAATGGGAGAAAACTCACTACTGAGTGTGAGGCCGGAGGAGATTTTGGCAGCTTGGGGTGATGACCTGGGCGTGGGAAGATTGCAGTCATGTTAATGACAAGGTCTAGGGTAAGACTGTGGAAGCGAGTGGCTGAGGGAGGGCGGAGAATCAGGATCAGAGCGGGAGAGGAGTTTAAGAAACTGAGAGGCCAAGATTCTGGAAGTATCCTCTATGTGGATGGTCCGCTTATCAGGAATTAAGATGGGAGCAATGGTGGAGAGAGTGACAGCGAGCTAGAAGGATTCTCTCGGACCCCAGACAGTGTAGGTGTGGGGCTGCGGGAGGGGCAGCTCTTCCTTCACCCCCGCCTTGCTATTTAGGCTTCAGCAAAATTGAAATTCCTAAAGATCCCAGATATTGTGTTGGAATTCCTGTTTCTTGTAACCCATATCATCCTCTTTCTTTAATTCCTTGTTTGGATGGTAGTTCTTCATAAGTTATTATTATTATTATTGCTAAGACTATTGCAGTAGTCCCCTTCCTGGTGTTCCTGCCTCTAGTCTTGTTTCATTCCACTTGCTCACTGACAAACCCCACGCCTTCTCCACATTTCCTCCAGAGTAACTTTCTGAACCACCAAATCTGACCTGGTCACTTCCTTGTTTAAAACCCTGCAACCACTCACTGTTCCTAACAACGCTATCACTTGCTGTGCCAGGCACTGCTCTTTAATCTAATCCTCACAGTCACTGCAAAGGTGTGTGCTATCACTACCCTTATTTTATAGGGGACGAAACTAAGGCACAGAGAGGTTAGGGAGCTTGTCCCGTGCATGTAAAACTGACATTATCACAGTACACAACGCCTCTCATAACTGGTCGCCCTCTCTGTACAGCTTCCTTTCTTACCATTTCCTCCCACCTTAAACTTTATGCTTCAGTAAAGCTGAATTACTTAAAGGTCCGAAGATCAGTCAGGCTCCCAGCAGGAAGTCTATAGCACAGAAAGTAGGTTTAATTGAAGAAAGTTAATGAAGGGCCTCTTTGCGCGCAGGGCTAGAGGAACCAATAATGACGATGCAGCATCCAGACACTAGCATTAGACGGAGACCAAGGGGGCAAGGAGAGGGGATGGCACTGCCAGGACCACATGGGGTCAAGGCTGTGGAAGAGGGTCTGCGCAGCGGGGACCGTAGGGACACGCAGCCACTGTCGAAACCATGATAAATCCCCTGACCTACCTTTGATGTCCTGCAGCGCTTCCACTGGCCACATCCAACTAGAAGCCGGAAGGTGAGGGAGTCCGGATGATGCAGTCTGTCAAGGTCAGCCTCCTGGGACACACAGCAGGCAGGAGAAGGACAGAGAACGGATCAGGAGAGACGTTTTGTCCTTCGCTTAGAGGACTAAATCTTGTGGTCCCACCCAGGGGAAACACCAGGTCCCAACAGCCACTGATCACAGCGAGGTGCTGTCAGTCAGTCGTAATTCCAACAGGAATAGCGTTAGTGACCGACACTGCTCTGCACAGAAGGTAACAGGAAGAAAGGAAGAAAGAGAAAGCCCACTTGTTGCTGGTCACAAGACCTAAGCAGCTGCTCTTAGCTTCCTTCTTCCACTGCCCCGTCTGTATTTCCCTTGCCTTTTGACAGGGGTGGCCCCCGTCTTCATTCCCATAAGATTCAACTTCTCAGTTGTCCTATCTTTCTTGAGTCACCAGTTTCCCACTGGCCATTATTTTTGGACTGAGGAGACTTGTGAGGCACTCCAGCAAACCCTCTGGTTCAGATACTGTTCTCCGTGGCCTATTCTGTCCCCGCAATCCAATTTCCCCTGGTAACTGCGACAAGTCAACCCGACCAGTACAGTTGGTTCAGCAGCGCGAGAAGCCCCGAAGTGGCCAATTTAATGGGCTTCCAATTTAATGGGATCAAGATTGTGTTCTCTGGGGAGAGTGTTCCCTCTTGTGCACTAGGACCTCCAAACCTACTGAGCCCAAGTTTATGGGGGAGAAGCAAACGTTCTGTAAGAGGGCTGTATGATGCAATAGCGAGAGAGGCATTTCTTCGTCCACCCTAGTCCTTCTGCAGATCCACACACCTAATGATTACTTCATGCCTCTCCTCTCTTCTTGAATCTCTCCAGGTTACACTGGAGACCAACTCGCATCTCTGGGGGTACCTGTCAAAGAACAGGCCCTGGGCTTCCCTGGTGGTGCAGTGGTTGAGAGTCCGCCTGCCGATGCAGGGGACACGGGTTCATGCCCCAGTTCGGGAAGATCCCACATGCCGCGGAGTGGCTGGGCCTGTGAGCCATGGCCGCTGAGCCTGCGTGTCCAGAGCCTGTGCTGCGCAACGGGAGAGGCCACAACAGTGAGAGGCCCGCATACCGCAAAAAAAAAAAAAAAAAAAAAAAAAAGAAGAGGCCCTGTGTATTCTGGCTATGGGGGAAATAGCACCCTATATAGGTGGTATCTCCCAGAGGAGACACCACACCCTCGAGGAGGGCACCTAGCCTTGCAGGGTGCTGGCCTGCAGTGGGTGCCAAAGCTGAGCCTTCAGGAGTCCATTCCCCAGATCATCTAAACAGCTGCAACTGAGTATTTCGGTAACTGTGCACAGACCAGTGAATTCCTTGGGCATGAACTCAGTTCCACACATCTTTTGCTCTATAATGAGTTCCTTGGTTGGAGAGGATGTTGTGTGGGTTACCATGACAACGAATAGGGCATTCTGAAAATCTGGTGCCGGCAGAAGCTCTGCAAGTAGGGAAAGAAAGTCTGTATCTGGAACAGGACTCCATTCCTAAGGGAACAAATGACTAGCTCCCTCCATGAAGGAACAATACAGATTATTAGGCTGGTCCGCCATGTCGGGGATCCAGCATTGCTCTTTGTTAGTGTTTATCAGTTCGGGACCTGAGTGGAGATGATATGCATACTGGCCCTAGTGAGGAGTACCTACTGAAAAAGCAGTGGCGGGAGGGGCAGAGAGGCTGGCAGACATTCACAGGACAGACTGCTCATTTCATCAGCCTGATGACCCAGATCCTCTTCTGCCCCTGATGGGAACTTACACGACATCTCTGTGTCTTCACCTGGTGCTCCTTCTGGTACTTCCGTCCATGGACCTCTTTCCCAGACTTCCTGGTCTTGACCATTAGAGGTGCCTGACCAGCCAGCCGGTCTGTTGCCCGTCGCTCCTTAGTCGGTGTAGATCCAGAGCCCCAGCCACCTCTCTTCCAAAGCAAAGCAGATGATCAGACTGGCCGAAAGGGGACCACCGGGAGGCTCTCCCTTCACTACTGTCTTTCAGGACCATCCTTGAGTGGGACTTGATGCAGTGGTCGCACACCTCCCTTTGATGGCAGCTATCGTACAAAGCCCCCTGTGAACAACAGACTGATTCTCCCTCCTCTGTTGCGTAGGCGTAGGGAGCTCCTCATGAAACTGTAGAGAGAATACGTTTCTGTTGCGTATGCCGCCAAGTTTGTGGTGATGCGTCACAGAAGCCACAAGAAACAAAACTACCTTCCTAAGCCTCGGTTTCCTCATCTACAAAACACGTAGGGGGCCCCTCTGGGTGGGAGAAGAGACACTCCCAGGAGGCTGCAGCGGGGACTCACTCCCCAGGGCCCCGCCCACCCCACTCGGCCCCCCTCCTCTCCCCTGCACTGCACAGGTGCAGGTCGGCCCCGTGGGCCCCAGTACTATGTGACCCAACTGGTCCAGGTCAGCAGACCCGGGTCCTTCTGATCTACTCGGTGTCTCCCCCTCTGGCTGGGCTGCAACAAGTCTCCTCCAGCTCCCAGGGCCTCCGTTTGCCGCCACGTGGGCCAGAGGCTGGGAGGAAGCCCGGAAGGAGAGAGTAGCTAAAGCCAAGGGGAGAGAGGAGCTGAGAGCAGAGGAAGGGGTACTGGGCAGGGTGTCCTGTCGGGATGAACAGCACTGAGCAGATCAAGTGAGCCCACCTTGGGGCCACCTGCTAGCTCATCTCACCTGGGAAAGCCCTGCTCATCCTGAAGCCGGCGCCCTGGTCCCCAGAACTCCCTGCTCTGCCGGCCCACAACCTGCCCGGCCCTTGTTGGACTGTGTCCTCTCAAGAACCCCAGCTCGGCCAGAGCAGAGGTGGGCTCTGCCTTCCTCGCTGCAGCTCCCTTGCACCCAGCACACAGCAGGCACTTGTCGAGAGGACGAATGAAAGGGGCCGGCCTAAGATGGGGTCTGGAAGAGGCCAATTTAACGAGAACATCACCAAGGGACACATTGAGTTCAGCATTCAGGATAGTCCCCTCGAAGCTTCAGAGCTATTCTTGCCATCGTTCCCACCGCATCGATGAAGATTTGTGCCCAGGAAAGGTGAGGTAGCCTGCCCAAGGCCAGCCGGCTTGCCAGGCAGAGCTGGGCCTTGACCCCCCAGCCCGGCTTTGGAGCCCGGAGCAGCCTGCCAGTGGAGATCAGGGACAAATACAACCCTTGACACCCGCCCGCACGTGCTTACTGTCACCCCTCCCCCCCCCCCGTTTCCTTGGAGGGACTGGCCCTGAAATGGGGGACATGTGAGAGGGCGGGACACAAGGAAGGAGCAGAGCAGGCCTGTCCTCCACTGCAGTCAGCGCAGGAGAGGAGCAGCCCCGGGGCGGAGGCAGAAGGGCAGCTCGGAGGAGAGATGCGCTGCTCAGTTCATTGGGCACATGGGCCAGCTGGGCAGAGAAAGGGGCCCAAGATTTAAGCCTTACAAACTGCACTGAATTCATGGGACCAGACAGGACAGCCCCGGAAGGCACTAGTCGTCCATTCTGCTCCTTCACCGTCCAGCTGACCTGGATCTGTTTTGGGGCGGGACAGAGTGGTCCAGGGTGGGGAGGGTGTGGGCAGGACCAGGGCTCCCCAGCCTGCCCCTCACTATCCACGTGACCCAGCTCTGCAGGAGTCCACACGAGGAACTGCGGGGGGGGGGTTCCCCCTCCCCCAATATGCCCACCACCCCACGCCCTGTGTGGAGGGCCGGCTCTCTACCAGATCCTGGAGGTTCCAACCCTCCGTGCCTCAGATTCCTGATCCAGGACCTGCAGTTGTTCAGCGTTTATGGTAATGACACTGTGACTACGATTTTTTAAAGTGTGCTTATTTTATAGAGTTACCAACAGAAATTTACATGAAATGATTGGATGTCTGGGAGTTGCCTTTAAAAATAAAATGGGTGGGGAGGCATGGGTGGACGGATAGGAGAAACTGGATTAGCCTTCGCTCTGCTTTGGTATATATTTGAAAATTTTAAAATTTCCACTGAAAACAATTTTCCCCTGAGGCTGCCGAGGCGGGATCCTAAGATGCACCCTTGAGACCCGGCTGCCTCCCCCGCGCTGGGTTTGACCTCGGCGCCCAGGGAGGGCGCGGCGGGGACGCTGGGGCTCTGGCGCCACCTGGCGGCCCTCGCGGGACCGACACCCTGCGTTGCTTCCCGGGCGCGGGCAATGGAGCGCTCCAAACCGGAGCCGGCCGCCCACGCCACGCCAGGCTCGGGCCCACCCGGTGCTGCCCTGACCTCCGGAAGCCCTCTCAGCACCCCACCCAGCCGCGCCCTCCCAGTCCCCCCTCTGACCCTCACTCCCCACTCCCCGTCGAGTCCCCTGGAGGGGCAGTTCTGGGGTGTGAGTGACGCGACACACCGGGGGACCGCCCAAGGGTGGCCAGTAGGCCCGGCCCACGCACGCGGCACATCCACTCAACTCCTCAGGGTCTCGCTTCTTGTAATTTTACCAAAATTACACAGACTAAAGTCAAATAGTTACAGGAGGCTGGTAAGAAAAGCAGCAGTTCCCTCCTCTCCACTTCCTATTTGCGGGGGCAGCTCTCTGTGCTTTTAGCTGATTCTTTTATGCTTTACCTCCACGTCACAAAACAACAGTTTTATAATCTCTGCTTTTCATTTGAGGTGTTTTCTGCTAAGGATGGAGGATGAAGATTTAGCTCTTCTTCACCCCTTACACTTCCTGTCTCCTCACCTCCCAGTTACATCTTATTTGGGGTTAGATCCATTTCCCCTTTAACAGGTTAGGTAACTGCTACTCACGGATGAGCCATGGTTATTCTTTCCTCTCTGCCATGTTTCATTTGCTGTGGATTTTATTAATTGTCTTGTGTGGGCTTTTGCTTCATGCTCTGTAGGTTTATCACTATTTTATCACCAAATTCTAACCAATTTACAAGTTGTATAAACTCAGCTATATTAGATATTCTGTTAACTTCAGTGTGTTGAAGAGCTCTTTCCTGGGGCCGTCTGCCCTGCTCTGATGTAAATGGGCTGGTATTTTCGTCTGGGGCCCAGCCGGTATCCTGGACTTACCCTCCTCTCACTTGGGTGGCACCCCATTTCCTGGATCCTCTTTCTTCTAATTTCTTGCTTTATCCTCCCATTTTGGCTGAGCACATCCTTCAGTAGCTTTCTGAGAAAGGGTGTGTGAGAGATGAAGTCTTGAGACCACACACCTGTGAACGTGTCTATTTCATCCTAACCCTCTGCAGCTGAGCTGGGTTTATAAATGTTGTTTGGGAATGACCTTCCCTCAGAGTTTTGAGGGCACTGCTACTGCCTAGTGTTGATAAGAAGTCTGAGGCCGGGCTTTCCTGTTGGTGCACTGGTTAAGAATCCTCCTGCCAATGCAGGGGATATGGGTTCGATCCCTGGCCCAGGAAGATCCCACATGCCATGGAGCAACTAAGCCCGTGAGCCACAACTACTGAGCCCACGTGCCACAAGTACTGAAACCCATGCCCCTAGAGCCCGTGCTCAGCAACATGAGAAGCCACCGCGATGAGAAGCCCGCGAACCGCAACGAAGACCCAAAGCAGCCCTAAATAAATAAATAAATACATTAAAAAAAAAAAAAGTCTGAGGCCATTCTGATCCATGATCTTTCCTATCAAATCTATTCTTTTTCTTTTTGGAAACGTTTAGAGTTTTCTCTTTATCCTTAGTATCCTGAAAATTCATGATGATGTACTTTTGAGGGGGGTCTAACTTTACATTGTATGGGGCATTTAGGGTACTCTTTCAATATGTATTTCATGACCTTCACTTCTGGGAATTTAGGAGAGAAAATAAAATTAGAAGATAAATCCAGAATATCCAAATTGCAGTTTTGGAAACAGGGAACAAAAAATATAGGAAAGAAATTAATTTGTAAAAATACATGAACATTTCCCCAAACTGAGTATCGTTAAGTCTGCAGATGAAAAGTCCTTGGAAGGGGCTTCCCTGGTGGTGCAGTGGTTAAGAATCTGCCTGCCAATGTAGGGAACACGGGTTCGAGCCCTGGTCCGGGAAGATCCCACATGCTGCGGAGCAACTACGCTCACCACAACTAGAAAAAGCCTGCGTGCAGCAATGAAGACCCAACGCAGCCAAAAAAAAAAAAAAGAAAAGTCCTTGGAAGTATTCAATGTGATGAATGAAAAAAGACCACGCAAGGCATGTGCTGGTGACATTTCTTGGCTTGTATGTTTGAAGCTGCATTTAAATATTGCATAGAAATTATTTAGACCTTAGTCTACAGTTTGGGCACTAAGTGCTACGGCTGAAATGGGGGAAAATTGATGCTGTTTGGCTGCATGAAGATGTATCCAGGAAGGCTTCGCAGAGGAGGTGAAACTTGAGCTAGATTATACCGGATGGGTGGACAGAGAGGAAAGCTAGATGTTCCACATCAGGGAAACACTGAGCTTGTACTGAACCGGCAGGGTGTGCGTGTGTGCGTGCACAGGTGACTGTGTGCTGGGGTCAGGAGGCCAGGCTGGCTGGGATATCAAGGGAAGGGGAGGTGGGACCCTATCATGGAGGCTAGTCTGATCTGGCAGTAGCGAAGCCCTGCTCCTTATTTTCCACGGAGAAAACAATGGCCTTGCTGCGTTCAACCCAAGCCCAGTCACACCAGAGAGGACCCGGGCAGCTGAGGCCGACAAGCAGGTAGAGGTTCCTCTTGGAACGGAAGGGCAGTGGGTTCTGCTCATGTAAGTCACCCTGGGAGGACTCTCCACGACTCTCCCTTCTCTCCCCACCGAGTCAGAGTCTCGGCACCAGGAGGGATCTTAGAGCCACCCAGACACTGAGCAGAGGCCAGACAGGGCACAGGATTTGCCCGAGGTCACACTGTTCATTAGACACAGAGCTGAGTTTAGAACCCCATCTCTGGAGCCCCCCGCCCTGGGCTTTCTCCTCCCTGCCTGTGCTCAGGTGCTCACATCGGGAGAGGCAGCCTTTCATCTGAAGGTCACCTGCACTCAGCTGCTCAGCCCTGGGGGCATGATGGGGTGTCCTGCTGGGGAAGGAGGGGACAGTGGGCCAGAGCAGAGGGGGTGCTGTTGGCAAAATTTGACGTGAGGATCTGCATTTTAAGCTCATGTTGAGGAAGTAAGTGCTAAGGGCAGTTACGTCCACTCTGCACGTGTCCCAACATAACATCCCACTGCTCTGCATGTCACCGCCATATTCCCCAGGTCAGGGTCCTCAGGATGGCCCCTGTCAGAGGGTCCCGAGCAGCCAGCCCTCACAGGGAACCAGAGCCAGATGAAACACGGGTTCCGTTCAGAAATGACCCAGGTGCTCAGGTTGGCGTCCAGGTTGCTGGTAAGCAAGGTCTGGCGGTACTTACCCTCTGAGGTTGGGGTCAGCTCCTTAAAGGCTGGGGTCCAAGGACACCGTGTCGGGAATACGGGGTTTGGGGGTGGTGTCCCCTGTCCTTCCTGGCTTGTGATTTGATCTCTGACCACTTTCTTTTTCCAGGAAGGACGAGTCATTCTTGTGCTCCCTGAGTCCCTGCTAATTTAATATCATTTGTGTTTGCAGCCTTTTAGGTTATTTCACTTGTAAATTTCCCTCAATAATTCCAGCAACATTACTTTCAGAGTCCTGATTGCAGCATTTAAATTTTTTAGTATTCTGTGCACCTCCCTCCGAGATATATGGGCGCTGTCATCAGGGCAGCCAGGAAGGCCTCGGGGCAGCGGGATCTAGCGGCCGTTGCTTGTACAGGGGCTCTGAGACAAATGAGCTGCAGGAAGTGGTTGTCACTGCGCTCGGCCGTATCCAAGGAGTGTCTGTAACGTGCAGCTCCTCACCGGCTGGTAAAACCCCACCTCATGGAAGCACTTACCACCCCACATCTCGGTCACTCATGGGAGATTATACATGTCCACACTTCTTTGTTTTTTAATAAATTTATTTATATATTTATTTTGGCTGCATTGGGTCTTTGTTGCTGCACACGGGCTTTCTCTAGTTGTGGTGAGCGGGGGCTACTCTTCGTTGTGGTGCACGGGCTTCTCACTGCAGTGGCTTCTCTTGTTGCAGAGCACGGGCTCTAGGCATGTGGGCTTCAGTAGTTGTGGCTCGCGGGCTCAGTAGTTGCAGCACACGGGCTCAGTAGTTGTGGCGCACGGGCTTAGTTGCTCCGCGGCATGTGGGATCTTCCCAGACCAGGGCTCGAACCCGTGTCCCTGCATTGGCAGGCAGATTCTGAACCACTGTGCCACCGGGGAAATCCCATGTCCACACTTCTCAACTTCCAGCCCCGCAGGGTGTCCCCCTTGTACCACCACTGCGCCCCCAGACTCATTCTCCACCCTTCCTGTCTGGCTGTGTCTTGGGGCTGTGCCCCCAGGTGCTCAGGGGTGGACCGAGGAGGCCGGGCCTTCTGGTGCCTCAGGACGACTGCCCCTTCGGGCGGCCCCTCGCCCACCTCCAGCCTTCATGGGCTCTGCTAACACGACTGTCTAGGTCAGGCCTGGGCGTGGTTGCTGTCCAGGTAGGGCCCTTCTTGGGGCAGCTCGTTGCCTTAACCCTGCCCATAGGTCTGCCGTCCACTTCTGTCTGCTTGTTGCAGAACCAACCTCCCCAAAACTGAGTGTCATAAATGACTGGGTTTTTTTTTATGCACCTGGGTTCTGTGGGTTGGGAACCCAGAAGAGGCAAAGACAGGAAAGTAGTCTCTGCTCCACGGTGTCCAAGACCTCGGCTGGGAAGACCGGAAGGCTAGGGCAACGCGACAGCTGGGGCTGGAATCCTGCGGAGGCTTCCTCGCTCACTGCAGGTCTGACAGTTGAGACCGGCTGTCAGCCAGAGCTCCTACACAAGCCTCTTGGTGCGGTCGCTCTACACGAGCTGGCTTGGGCTTCCTCACGGCATGGCGGCTGGGTCCCGGGAAGGAGCGTCCCGGGGAGCACAGTGAGGTCCATGGCGTCTTATGATCTCACCTCACGAGTCCCCCAGTGTTACCTCCCCCATACTCTACTGCTCCAGGCAGCTAGAGCTGCCACCGCCGCTGCCTCTGGACACCGGATGTAGCTGTGAGTGAGTCTATGAGTCTGCATAGACCGACCTCGTTTAGTCACTAGCTTCCCATCTGAGGTCTGGGAGGGATGTGGCTGATTGGTGGAAGCTTTTATATGTGCTTGCCCTGTAGTTGCCAGGGAGGCTGAAAGGGTGAGGTGCCTGGCATTTTCTGCTTGGGGTGGGGGAGGTGATTTTTGTCTGATAAAAGGGTCTCTGTAGACACATGAATACAAATATATTAAAAGAGGTGAAGAACTTCAGATGCTGGGGTGGGGGAGGGAGTACTGAGTCCAAAGAAGGGAGGTTCAGCTCTGCAGGCCAGAGAAGATTGTAAGTTCTGACTTGTCCGTAACAGGTGTTGTTGGGATGTGCCCTCTGCTCGCCCCTTGGGCAGAGTATAAATTAAGTACCGTGTACATTTCCCCCCTTTTATCGATGGGAATGGTATGTCTGAGAAAAACTGGGATACCGTCTTTTAACTGCAATTTCAAAAACTGTTTCGGAACATTTTAATAAAATGAGTGAGAAATTATAGACTCTAGATTGCGGTTATAGGATATCTTCTTTTGGCATCTTTAAATTCAACTTAAAATCAGTAGGTTCTACAAAAGCAGTGAAGATGAAAAAGAAATTCAATATAAATTATTCTGACATTGAGAAGCAAATTATAACAACTTTCAGATCACATAAAAAGCAGTAATTGATTCAGGGGAAAATGTAAATTTTCAATAGAAGAAATGAATAGATTTTGGGATTGTTTGATGACCCAGTTAATGAATCGCATGAACACATTGGAAAAGAATGTAACTTCTTTGCTAATTTGACATGAAATGCTGACATTGACAACGACAAAATAAAACTCATAGACTGCCACTTCAGGGAGGTCATCCATGACACTCCCATGACGTTAATAAACGTCATTAATTCAAAGGGTTTTTAAGATTAGTCACTGAGCAAAATAACTCAAAATGCCCTGAAACCTTACAACTCATATGTGAAATTTGATAGAGATTTCCTTAAATGCAAAAGTAATCCTTAAAATTTACCAACAATGGGTTGTAAAGATGTTATTAGTCAGGGTCCAGTCAGGAGATAGAAACCTCACAGCAACTTGAACAAGAAAGTTTAAGATAAAGAATTAACTTTAACGCTGTACACAAAAATAATCTCAAAATGGATTAAAGACCTAAATGTAAGACCAGAAACCATAAAACTCCTAGAAGAAAACATAGGCAGAACATTCTTTGACATAATCAATATTTTTTTGGATCTGTCTCCCAAAGCAAAGGAAATAAAAGCAAAAATAAACAAATGGGACTTAATTAAACTAAAAAGCTCTTGCATAGCAAAAGCAAACGAAACCGTCAACAAAATGGAAAGACAACCTATTGGGGAACTTCCCTGGTTGTCCAGTGGTAAAGAATCCGCCTTCTAATGCAGGGGATGCGGGTTTGATCCCTGGTTGGGGAACCAAGATCCCACATGCCGTGGGGCAACTAAGCCTGCATGCCGCAAACCTACAGAGACCACGCGCCCTGGAGCCACACACCACAACCAGAGAGAAGTCCACGCGTCACAACGAAGAGCCCGCACTGCAGCGAAAGATCCCGCGTGCCTCAATGAAGACCCCACGTGCCACAACTAAGACCTGACGCAGCAAAAAAATAAAGAATATAAAGAAATACTAAAAATAAATAAAAAGGCTTTGTTAACCTTGAAAAAAAAACACTGATAACTATTAAAAAAAAGACAACCTACTGAATGGGAGAAAATATTTGCAAATGATGTGATGGATAAGGAGTCAATATCCAAGATATAAACACAGCTCATACAACTCAACATGAAAAAAACAAACAACCTGATTAAAAAAATGGGCAGAAGACTTTAGACGTTTCTCCAAAGAGGACGTGCCGATGGCCAACAGTCACATGAAAAGATGCTCAACATCGCTAATTATCAGGGAAATGCAAACCACAATGAGATATCACCTCACACCTGTCAGAATGGCTGTCATCAAAAACAACACAAATAACAAATGTTGGCGAGGGTGTGGAGAAAAGGGAACCCACATACACTATTGGCAGAATGTACATTGGTGCAGGTGCTGTGGAAAACAGTATGGCGGTTTCTCAAAACACTAAAAATAGAACTACCATGTGACCCCCAAATTCCACTCCTGGGTATATATCCAAAAAAAAAAAAAACGAATTCGAAAAGATACATGCACCCCAATGTTCATAGCAGCATTTTTACGGTTGCCAAGATATGGAAGCAACCTAAGTGTCCATCAACAGATGAATAGATTAAGATGTGGTACATATATACAAGGGAATACTACTCAGCAATAAGAAAGAATGAAATAATGCCGTTTGCAGCAACATGGGTGGACTTGGAGGGTATTATGCTAAGTGAAATAAGTCAGACAGAGAAAGACAAATACTGTATATTACTTATATGTGGAACCTAAAAAATACAACACACTAGTGAATATAACAAAAAAGAAACAGACTCACAGATATAGAGAACAAACTATCGGTTACCAGTGGGGAGAGGGAACGGGGAGGGGCAACGCAGGAGTAGGGAATTAAGAGGTACAAACTGTTAGGTATAAAATAAGCTGTAAGGATATATTGTAGAACACAGGGAGTATAGCCAATATTTTATAATAACTATAAATGGAGCATAACCTTTAAAACCTGTGACTCATTATACTGTACACCAACTTACTTCAATTTAAAAAAAAATTTTTTTAAAGAATTAACATTAACATGGGATCAGAGTAATAAAGGATTGGCTAGAAAGAAGTAAAGATGCTTACTTAAAGAACGCAGGCACAGCAGATGCAGGGAGTGGCCATCACCCCGGGTGAGACAGAGCTCCCACGGAAGCGGTCCCTCTGCAGGGCTGAGATCCAGAACTTCTTGGAGAGGGCGTGGTTCGCTGCAAGGCAGAGAAGTCACTGAGGTGCCAGGTTGACAGAACTTGCTGGAAATCTGCCCCTGTGGTGTCAGAGGGACCATCCACGGGGAGGTGTCATGCTTTAGAACCTGCCCCAAAGCCATGGGAGAAAATGCCAGGGGAATCTGTTCACAGGACAGTGCCTTACGGGCCACAACTCCCCGTGAAGCTGCCCCGGGGGTGCCAAGGGAGCTACTGGCTGCTGGGAATCATTGGAGCTAAGTGCTGCGGAAGCCGCACGTGCTGCTGGAAACCCTGTGTCTTGCAGGAGCCAGATGCTGGCGGATCCCCCTGTGCTACAGGAGATGGCCACCAGGAACGCTCCTGAACCAGGAAGAGAAACCCCTTCCTCCTCCAGTGTCCCTACAGCGCCCTCTGCTGGCGAAACTTAACACATAGCAGCTGGCAAACAAATATTTCCAGGGTCCAGCTTAATTAATTATAGAACAACGAAGAGATATTGGGAGCTGAGAAGCAATAAATTGACAACTGGCACAGAAGGTGAAGGAAACTTTTCTAAATTACTAAATCACTAACTTTTTATCCACCATGGTGGAGGGAAGACCATCTTTTTTTTTTTTTTTTTAGGGAAGACCATCTTTTTAATTTCTCTGACAAGATTATTGTCCTTTAAAGAGTTCGCCAAAGAACTTGTAGCCAGAAACTATAAGGAAAAAATGTTATAAAGGTGTAGCAGATAATTAATAATTCTATTTTATTTTTCTGGATTTTATAATGTTTGTGGTATTTTTCAACTTAAAAAAATTTGTAACATATTTTTCTCATTCTAAATATTTACTTCCATTCCTAATATTGTATTTAGTTATTGAGTCATTTTTCTCTATGAAAAAATGATGTTTTAAAATTATATATTTTAGAGTTCCCTGGTGGCCTAGTGGTTAGGATTCCAGGCTTTCACTGCCGGGGCCCCGGTTCAATTCCTGGTCGAGGAACTGAGATCATGCAAGCCACACAGCGTGGCCAAAAAAATAAAATTAAAAATTATATATACTTTAAACTTTATTGCCTAGCAGCATTCAATAAATGTTTGCATGAATTAAGATATATCTCCTGCTCCTTTTACTACATTATAGTTTCCTTGAGGGAAGAAGTAGGGTTAAACTCAGAGAGGAACATCCGATCTAATTGGATGGGGAACTCAGAGAGGTCATCCAATCTAATCTCCTATGGACAGGAAGGAAAACGAGCCCAGTGCTCTTACTATCCTTCCCTGTGTGTGTGTGTGTGTGTGTGTGTGTGTGGTGGGGAAAGAGGGCAGGGATAGAGAGAGAAGTGCCGCCTGAGCCCCTGCATCCCCGGGTGGCTGAGTCGGGCACCCGTCCACTCCCCTCCCCATTCTCGGCACTGAAAAGTGTGTTGGGAGCAGAGCCCCAAGAGGCTGTTCTTCAAAAATGGGAGTGGTTGGGGACATGTAATCAAAGTCTTACAAAGGTCCTGACAATCCCAGCAGCAGGCTGGGCCAGGGTCATGACAGTCGTCTTAAATGGGAAATCAACAAATCAAAAGGTATGAACTTTAAAAAAGCTTAATATTCTTCACTTTCGCTCAAATTTTTGTACCAATTTATGTCTTCACCAACAAATTATGTAGAAGTGTATTTCCCAGTCCCCTCACCCTTGTCAACCTTGGATATTATCAACCTATGTCAGTCTAATAGCAGGCAAGTGATTTCTCATTGTGGTTAATTTGTGTTTAATTAATTGAACATCTTTTTAAATGTTTGTGGATCATTTTAATTGTTTTTTTTTTTTGGTGAAAACCTATGGTTGTTAGTTATTGCTGGGTTCCTCTTTTATTTAAGTGCTTCTTTAAGCTATTTAAAAGAGAAGTAGAGGGCAGATTCTACTAGTGGACGGCAGCCTAACAGTAGACTACTGAGTATCACGCCTGCACATAGTAGGTACTCAATAAACCTGTGGCAAATTAATGAAAGATCATCATGCAACCAGCTTGGTGAGGTGTGTAGGGTACTATTCTGTCCTTCTTTTTTGCCCTCCTGATTGATTCCGAGCTTGGGTAGAGGAGTGAAATCTTTTCCTGCTTTTGAGGGGAGGGGAACCAAGGTGGAGATAGGATGTGATGGTCCAGTACGAACAGGTGGACTGAATCCTACTTGGCTCATGATTTATAGAGATGATCCCAGGGAGGGTGTGGCTTTCAGAACATGGCACTTTTAGTTCTTGCTTGATGACAGACTCAAGTTCTGAATCTCGCCACAGGGAGAGCCCTAAACTCGGGATGATTCCAAAATGTGGCAAGGTGCTGTCTTCAAAGTTACCCCTCACAATTTTCAATCTTCCACCTAAAATTTTCCATCACAAGCTTAAAAGGATGCAATTCCAAATTTAGTGCAGCTATTAACATATTTTAAAACAAGACTTATGTGACTCTTGGCTATACATGCAGTGATATCTAAGTACCATAGCAATTTGATACCCGCCACTTAAAAATACATAAACACACATCTTTGGTCAATTCATCTTTGACAAAGGAGGCAAGAATATACAATGGAGAAAAGACAGCGTCTTCAGTAAGTGGCAGTGGGAAAGCTGGACAGCTGCATGTAAATCAATGAAGTTAGAACACTCCCTCACATCACACTCAAAAATAAAACCAAAATAGCTTAAAGACTTAAATATAAGACATGACACCATAAAACTCACAGAAGAGAGCATAGACAAAACATTCTCTGACATAAATCATCAGTTTCCCAGGACAAAAGAAATAAAAGCAAAAATAAGTAAATGGGACCTAATCAAACTTACAAGCTTTTGCACAGCAAAGGAAACCATCAACAAAACAAAAAGACAACCAACGGAATGGGAGAAAATACTTACAAATGATGCGACAGACAAGGGCTTAATTTTCAAAATATACAAACAGCTCATACAGCTCAACATCAAGAAATGCAAACTACCCAATGGACATAAGACCTAAATAGACTTTTCTCTAAAGAAGACCTCCAGACGGCCAACAGGCACATGAAAATATGCTCAACATTGCTAATTATTAGAGAAATGCAAATCAAAACTACCTTGAAGTATCACCTCACACCAGTCAGAATGATCATCACCAAAAAGTCTACAAATAATAAATGCTGGAGAGGGTGTGGAGAAAAGGGAACCTTCCTACACTGTTGGTGGGAATGTAAATTGGTGCAGCCACTGTGGGGAACATTATAGGGGTTCCTTAAAAAACTAAAAATAGGCTTACCATATAATCCAGCAATCCCACTCCTGGGCAAATATCTAGAAAAGATGAAAACTCTAATTCAAAAAGATACATGCACCCCAATGTTCATAGTAGGACTATTTACAATAGCCAAGACATGGGAGCAACCTAAATGTCCACCAACAGATGAATGGATAAAGAAGATGTGGTATATATACACAATGGAATATTACTCAGCCATTAAAAAGAATGAAATGATGCCATTTGCAGCAACATGGATGGATCTAGACATTATCATACTAAGTGAAGTAAGTCAGAGAAAGACAAATATCACACGATATCACTTAAATGTGGAATGTAAAAAAATGATACAAATGAACTTATTTACAAAACAGAAGAAACAGACTCATAGACATAGACAACAAACTTACGGTTATCAGAGGGGAAAAGGGTGAGGGATAAATTAGGAGCTTGGGATTTAGAAAAAGAAAAGTAAATAAATAAATAAATAAAAATATATAAGTTCTTCTTTAACTGTTCCTTTTTCTTCCTAAACTTGTCTTTCCAACCACTTCCCACATCTAACTTTATCCTAGTATAATACATGCTATGTTTGGAAGTCTTTTATGAATTATTCCTATCAGGTTTCTCAGCAACATAAATATAAATTAAAATTTAAGGAAAGTTTATATCCTATGATCAGAAGTCTTTAAGTACTGAAAAGTTTCTTCTGGTTAGGGTTATCATTGCCATTATTAGTAACATGTATTTGATTAAAGCAATATATATTGGTTGCTAATTTTGGTAAATAATTGTTAAACATAAAAAAGTAAATTTTTATTGGAAATGCATCTCTTAATGAGGTGAATGAGGTTGTTTTTCTCTCCCAATCAGTTTATTTATCTCTCTACTGGAATAAGATACATTAACATCAGATCAGTTCCTTTTTTTTATTGTTACAGGTGCTGGTGCTGAGAAACTTCCACATAGATAAGTATAAGAGAAAGGAAGGGTTTTTTTACAGCAATGCCACAAAAGTTTTTGGACTCGAGTTATAAGCCAGAAATCATGCAGTGATCAGCAAGAAACTAACATAACATTGTAAAGCAACTATACTCCAATAAAAATTAATTTTAAAAAAAAGAAATCATGCCATGATCCATCATTAGCAATTCTTTTTTATGGTCTATCAGCTGATGATACAATCAGTTCTTGCGTCCTTCCTTGGTTCTGCGTGCTCCTGTGGTGTCAGCATCATCTTCCCTGGGCACTTATGCTGTCAGCCTGTGGCACTCCTCCGACGTGAAGAGGAGATATTGATACTTCCCACTATACAGTCAGTGCGTGCTGCACTCAGTAATTTCACAGTGTGCAAAGAAAAAAACTGACAAAATGCTCAAACCCACCTTTCTGGGTAATGTTTAGCTCAGCGACCACCAAAGCACCTTCTGCCTGTTGGTTCCTGGGGATGTCTGTGCAGGTATCTAGCTTTTGCCCGAATCTCATTTCTGTTTTGACACCTGTGCTTCCTCTACACATCCTCTACACTGCAAAAATCAGCTCCTGCTCCGCACTCACTAGTTTTCTTCTTGGTGACCACTCAGGCTGGCACATTTGCTGGAGCAGTTTCTCAAAACTCATTCTCCTTATATCTGCAGAAGGTGGACCCATCGTTGTCAGAGCTCTGAGCCTCTGACAAGTCCCCTGCACCACGTTTCATCTCTGTGCTCTGAGCCTTGTGCTTTCTTACGCATCCACGCCTATGCCTTCGATTTCTGTGCATGAGCACA